CTCCATAAAGGCTACTCACTGGACTCTCCGAGAGAACCAGCCAGCCTCCACGTCTACCCTCAGTTTCCCCTTGTACAAGATGATATAAAGGTGATACCATCTGGGTTAAGCAGTAGCCAAAGGGGGCACTGGAACCAACCTGACAGGACTCTACATGGGTTTTCTCTCCAATCCTACAGCCACGAAGGTAACAGGCATGACAACAGAGATCCAACACCCCTGGGGCAAGAGAGCAGGAGCCCCAGCTCACATGGTCAGATGGACGGTCTCAGGATTATGGGCCCATTAAAATTAAGATTTCATTGGTCCTTCCACTCCCTTTCCCTCTACATCCTCCCGAGTCTTACGTTTGGTATGAATACAGGGTCATGGTTCAACCCCTGCCGCTCTCAGACCTGCACCTGGGAATAGAGGAAGACACAGGAAAGGCATTTGCTAGTGTGACTCCAGACCAGAAGACCATATTCATCTGGGCCTTTGCTCACTGAGGCCCACTTTAAGTGTCTGGTTGTATGGAAGGAAGTAAAGAGATGAGAATTTATCTTTTAAGACAGGAATGCAGAGTTTACAATTCTAGGCTTGCCCTGTGGGTGAGCCTTCTAGTTGCCCAAAACAAGGGCGTTTCCATTGCAAAAATTGGGGTTATGAAGCAGTCTTCCTGAAAAAAAAAATCCTTAAGAAGGATTTTGGCCTTTGAGAAACAGAGAAAACCTGACACTCAGACTCAATGGCAAAGGAAGCGACCCTGGAGATAGGTTTACTATACAGAAGGGTCCCCTGCCAACCAGGTCCCCAGACCTTGGAGCCTAACAGAGATCTCCTATCCATGCCAAGGCCCCCAATCAACTCTCCCCTCCAAAGGCCTTAACATACACAGGGCCAGAGTCCCACTTCCTGCTGTCCAGGAAGCTGGGGGAATCCCTAGCCCTATTTTCCACTCCGGGAAATGGCCACCACTTAGATCATCATTCCCGGTCAGAAAGTGGCAAGGACGGCTGGTTACGCTTAGACCCTGGCCCCTGTACCACATAGGGATAGCAATGAATTAAACTGACAGTCAATGGACTGCCAAAACTTATTGTGACTGAGGCACCCTAAACTGACATCAGAGGACTTCGAAGGGCCTGAAACCTGTCTAATATTTAAAAACCTTTAACTTAGGAGCTTCCCATTGTTCTGATGCCTACTGTTCTGCCTTATGGGTTAAATCATCCGGACAAAACAATTACTGAGCCCTTGAGACAACATGGTAGGTATGCGCTAATGGTTTAATTAAATGTGTTTCTTGTGATGCTTCTTATGATGAAAAAGAAAAAATACATTTTAATATAGGAACTAGACTAACGAGGAAAAAGAACAGCTGCTGTCCCGAATCAGTCCTGCTGCAGAGCATAACCAGCTCAGCAGCCATAGACACATCCGTCTTCTATCAGCGGAGGTGAGGACTTAAGGGACTGGGCAGGCAGGTCGATCAGGACCGAGAGGTATTAAAGGTTTCCATTTCTGAATGAGAGCAACAGTCAAACTCCCTTGCAGAAGTGTTCTGGCTAAACCATAGGGGCTTAGACTTACTTCTCATGAGAAGGGAAAAAAATCTGTTGTTTCTGTGCTAATTGATCAAGAGTAATTTAAAAAAAAATTTTTACCATGGTTGGAAAAAACTTCAAAGAGAGAGCTGAAGTCATTCCTCAGATTCTTGTTCCAGTTCTCTTGGTCCCACTGGCTGACCTACTCTGCTATCCACACTGTATGGACTTTTCATTCTCATTCTGATTGGATTAATAGCAGGGTCCTGTGTCTTAAATTATATGTCCAATTATGTATCAATCCAGTAAAATTAATGTCTCTTAGGACCAACTACACCTCTTTAGATCAGCATGAGTTCATAATTTGACTCATTCACTTAGACCATGGAGAAAGTAACAGGCCCCCAGACCTTAGCACAACTGACTCCATGATGGAAGTACCATATAGGCCAAAAACTTCAGCACATAGACAGCACCACCTGCCAAAACAAAAACAAAGGCCCAATTAATCAAAACCCATGGTGCTGGGAAAATGCACTAACTCGGCTTTTTGCCGCCAGTAGCTGTATTTTTGGATAACTGCTCTTGTGAACTGAAGTATGTTAAACTGAGATATGACTTTTGTGCTTAAAAGCTCACCTCAAGAAAGACCTGGGGCTACACTGGGATCCCAAACACCCAGTGTAATTGCCATCTGGCTAATGAAGACTCTCTGTTAGCATAAACCAATGTCCGAGTTGGTTTTTCTGGTGAATACACACAACCTGTGGCACTTGTTGGTTCAGCACCATTTCACACAAATGCCCTTTGACATGGAACCCTGTCCTTCACCTGGGCTCTGACCCTTAGCAGCTTTCTTCCTGTCACTCTGGGTGAGCCTGCTCCATCACTCTTGTCTCCCAGGTCACCTAACGCTGCAGAACCTCCAGCTTCAGGTCTCTTCCCACTGCAGTCATTCCTTGAAGCAACATCCAGCCTTCTTGTTTTAGACCGAACCTGGATCTCAGGGTGCTGGCTTCCTTGTTTCTAATTCTGGGGTGGCCCTACCCTGTTGTGGGATATTTGTACACCATGTGAAGATGTACTGCTGTGACTGGTGTAATAAAAGGTTGGATGACCAATAGCTAGGCGGGGGTATAGGTGAAACTTCCGGGTGGAGAGAGGGAAGAAGAAAGATGGAGTTGCCGGCAAGATGTAGAAGGATGTGCAGTACAGAGAAGAGGTAACCAGTCATGTGGCAGAAAGTAGATGAAGAAATATGGATTAATAAAGCTATAAGAGCTAGTTGAAAACAAGCCTTTGCGTAGGTCAAGCTTTTATAATTAATAATAATCTCCATGTCATTATTGGTGGACTGGTGGTCCCAATGAGAAAGTACGTCAAATGATGACCAACATCTGGCACATAAATCTACATAGGGCCCAAGAAAGTTAAAAAAAAAATTCCCAAGTAGACTCGGTGTTTGCAGTGTACAGAGCAATGGCTCTTTTAAGAGGCCCTGCTACTAAGCACTTGAATGGTTTTTTTTTTTTTTTTAATAAGCAGCAGGCAGTGTAAGCAGTGGGAGACTAGGTAGAAACACTTACCGGAACATGAACCCAGAGACTTTTCAGAGCTTGGAATAATAGACTGGCTCCAGGCAGGGTCCCACAGGCTTGAAGCTAGCCAGCAGGCCATGTGCTAGTGCTGGAGAAAGACTATACACACACACACACACACACACACACACACACACACACACAGAGATTAGGGGCTGTAAAAGTAGCTCAGTGGTTGAGAGCACTGGCTGCTGTTCCAGAGATCCTGTGTTCAATTCCCAGCACCCACATGGTGGCTACAACCATCTGTAATAGGATCCGATGCCCTCTCTGGCATGTAGAATGCACATACATAAAACTTAAAATTAAAAAAAAAAGAAAGACCGGTTAACAATTAGTGATCTATAACCAAACATATAGTCATGTTAGGTATGCTTTCAAGGTCAAACAGAGATATAGTTTAGATAGACAGATGGTCTTCAAACATTTCAGAGACCCACAGAATACGCATAAGACTTTTCATGACAGTGAAGCACATCTGCTCCTGGCAATACACATTTATTTCCAAAAAAGATGATAAGCATCAAAGAACCTCCTTATGGAGGAGCTGTTTTCAATGTGGCAAAACTAGCTATTTGGGTAAGAAACTGTCCTTGTCTCTACTGCTGACAGTATGCTATCCCAACTGGACAAACAGGACACAAAAGAAAGTGACTGTCGACCTTTGCCAAGACAAGGTAGGACAGAACTTCAAAATTTCTTGTTTCACAGAAAAGTCTGTCAGATATTCTAGGCCTGTAGGTCAAAGATAAAGCCCCAAATGTTGCAGAGAAACCTTGGGTGACTTTTCAGGCAGCTAGCTTTTCTGTCATTTCTATAGTTTTGGAAGTTGCTTGTTCTGAGCTTCCTGTTTATTTAGGTAATATTATTTAGGGTCTCTGATGAGGGTTGAAATAGTTATACCATTTATTTTGTTATCAGATTAAAGAAAAAACTTGCAAAAGAGATGTAAAGTTTATAAAGGTTGAGAGACATACAAACTTGTTATTTATCTAAGAAAATGCTTTAAGGTCTAAAAGGACATTTTTAGGGTACCAGTACAAATTATGATACAAAGTGGTTTTGGTATAAAATGCTGCATTAATCAAGATAGAACAGATAATAAAGGAATTTTTCCAAATTTGTCAAATGCAAATGGACAGGACATTTCAAATGTAGTTCTTACTTGATAATTGTTCTTACTGTATATCGTTTGCTGTATTAGAGTTTAAACCTTTCCTTTTTATTTAGACAAAAAGAGGGAAAATGCTGTAGGATTTTTGTGCACTGGGTGAAGATGTATTACTGTGACTGGTGCAAACTAAAGCTGAACAGCCAATAGCTAGGCAATAAGTGGGGCTTCCAGGCAGAGAGAGAGAACACTGGGAAGAAGAAAGGCGGAGTTGCCAGCAAAACACAGAGGGAGAGCAGGACCTAAGCTAAGGTCAAGTTTTTATAATTAGTAATTATAATTTTATAATTAATAAGTCTCTGTGTCATTATTTATACATAGGCAGTCCCAACAAGAAAGTACATCTATACCACACTTTAGTTCCATGTTTCCACTGTCTGAAGTTGAGCGTGTCCGACACCTGTCCTTCCCCACAGCTCCACCCATCCATGCAGTCACTCATGCCCAGCATTTCCACTCAGCTTTGTCTTTCCTCCTCACACCCAGATGGCTTGCCATCTGGGTCACATTCCAGCCTGAGTTTTGTTTATTTTGATTTTTGTCTTTTTGATTGTGAGCCTTAGCCTCTCCAGATCTAGTTTTTGTTTTTTGTTTTGTTTATGTTTGTTATGAGTCTGTAAGGACAAACAAATCCAGGAGGGTTAAGAGAAAATATTAAGTGACACACAAAATGAAACTAAAAAGTATGAAGCAATGTGTGCAGTGATGATAAGAAGTTTGAGTTGAGTGAACAAGTGTGACGTAACTATATGATAAGCAGACATGCATGTTAATCTAGAAGTAAGGAGGTAAGGCAGCTAGAAACAGTATAAAAACTCGAGGCCCACGGCCAGAAGACATTCTCAAAATGACTTGATAGACACGCTGTCAGAAGCAGTCATAGAGAATCCAACGAACCAGCAACTTGACAACTGAGACCTTCCAAGAGCCAGAGAACTAGCTCTTGCCTGCGGATCAAGACTTGCTGACTTGCTGATAGATCTTCCAAGAGCCAGAGAACTAGCTCTTGTCTGCGGATCAAGACTTGCTGATCCAGAGATCTAAGTCGAGAGCCACGAACCATTATCAGGTCGTACACACCAATGCCTCAGTAAAATAGGGTAGAAGGCCTTGCCTAGGGCATAGGAACGCTTGCTGATTGAAGTGGAATGTGTGATGTGATTGTTTAGCTAATGATTGTTATAGTTTTGATGTTTGCTTATATCTACAATAGTAACAATTGGAGATTTGACTACTGGCATAATAAACTTGTTCCTAGAACAAAAGACTGTGGTCATCCTGAGTATTTACTGGCAGACCTCGAAGTAAGAGCAGAATGCCCGCTCAGGAATAGAGCTCGCTACAATGTTGCTGTTGTTGTTTCAGCAGGGTATACTCAGTATTTCCGCTACTGCTGAGCTGTATCCCTAGCACTGCTTTGTATTCTTTGAAGTCTTCTTTGCTCTTTTATCCCCAGCATCTATAAGTGTTCTCTATTTAAGAGAGAATCTAAACTGGGTGTGGTGACACATGCCTACAATCCCAGCATTTCTGAGTTCTAGGCTAGCTGTGAGGAGACAAACATCCTAGGACACTCAGTGAGTTCAAGGTCAGCCTGGGCTTCACGAGACCTTGTATTATAAAAATAAGAAAAAGGAAAAGAAAAGAAAAAAAATCTCACTAATGCTTTATAGTGAATAAAGAAACTGATTAATAAATAATTCATGTGTCCCTCTGTGGCATAAGGGTCATGTTGATTTCTCCTTTATTCCTTCCAGGAAATGGGAAAACACTTCATCTCTTTCTGATGCTAAAATAAGTCACTAAAGATGCCCTGAGTTTCAACAGCACACACTTACTATCTTTCCTTTTGGTGGGCCAAATCTGGAAAGGCCCCCTGGTCTAAAATCAAGGTGGCAAAATGCATTGTTCTGGAGACCCCAGGGAAAATTGCTGTCTTTTCCAGACACGTTGGGCAGGAAAGCCTAGGACTGGGTTAGTAGCCCAGGATTCTTGAAGGGGCGCGGTGCGATCGGTAATTAAGGATCCATCAGACTAGCTTAATACAAAATATACAGCTTTAATAAACAGAAGGAAGACTTACACCAGAATCCCAACGACCCGTTCAGACAGAGGAGCCAGGAGAGAGAGAGAGAGAGAGAGAGAGAGAGAGAGAGAGAGAGAGAGAGAGAGAGAGAGAGAGGCGGGACTTTCACCCGCCAGGTTTATAGGTAAACTTTTGCCTTAGGGCAACACGCCCCACGAACAGGATGTGATTGGCTGAACTCCCCTATCAGATTCTGCTTGGTTTGAGTTATGGACACCTCTTCCCAATTTTGCAGCTTTTTTTCTTCCTTCCTTCCTTCCTTCCTTCCTTCCTTCCTTCCTTCCTTCCCTCCTCCTCCTTCTTCCCTCCCTCCCTCCTTCCTCCTCCTCCTACTCCTTCTTCTTCTTCATTGTTGTTTTAAGACAGGGTTTCTTTGTGTAGCTCTGCCTGTCCTGGAACTAGTTCTGTAGACCAGGCAGGCTTTGAACTCACAGAGATCCACCTTCCTCTGCCTCTTGAGTCCTGGAATTAAAGGTGTGTGCCACCACTGCCAAACAAACAGTTTCTATTCAAATATATTGAATGTATTCAGATATGAAGAACAGATTGATCTGACCTGATCTGGTTTTGGGTACGTACCAGTAAGGCAAATTCTCTCCTCAAGTGTACTCTGGAGGGAATCCCCTATTGACTATCTAATGCCCATGCATAATTGGACTGCATATTATTACAATGGAATGCATTATAAGGAAGAATGTGCTCAACAGAAAGAAAAAAATTGTATAATCTAATCTGTCAAAACATTGAACCAGCATCACTATGTACCAGTAACTAAATACCTCCTTCTCTTGAACCCCATAAAGAAAGCACAGTGCACCCCTCTAACCTGGGTTAACACCCAAATATAGTTATTTTGCTTCTTTTGAAAATCTACACTAGTTTTTGTTTTCCATTCTTTGGATAAAAGATCAAAAATCTGGAATTATCTGATGCAGATGTCAGCCACAGCCACTGCTAACACATCCAGATGGCAGAGCTAACTAGGAAGTGAGAAAATACGTTCTTTCTCACCTTCCTCCTAAAAACCTTCCTACTGACTGCTTTCTTGTCCTTTCCATGCTGACTGAGAGAGGCCGTTGCCTTGGCGTGCTAGGATTAGAGGTGTCCACCACAAGTTCTGTTTACACCTGATATTTTTTAAGGTTTGCTTTCCTTTGCTTTTGTTTTTTGTTTTATTTCCTTTTGGTTTTATATAAAGTTGAAGTGATTCTACTAACGTTTCTGTCTCTGAAGTTAAAACATAAAAAGTTCCTAGGTCTTCTTTTAGTGTTGCTTGTGCTCTTGAGAACAGAACCTAATTCTGTTACTATTTGGGTTTTTTTATTTTATTTATTTATTTATTATGTATATAATATTCTGGATATGTGTGGATTCTGCAGGCACCAGACCTCATTACAGATGGTTGTGAGCCACCATGTGGTTGCCGGGAATTGAACTCAGGACCTTTGGAAGAGCAGGCAATGCTCTTAACCACTGAGCCATCTCCAGCCCCCCCCCCTTTTTTTTTTTTTTTTTTACTATTTGGGTTTTAAGAATTTTTCTGGCAGGGTATGGTGGCGCATGTCTTTAATCCCAGCACTTGGGAGGCAGAGTCAGACAGATCTCTTGTGTTCAAGGCCAGCCTGTCTACAGAGTAAGTTCCAGGACAGTCAGGGTTACACAGAGAAACCCGGTCTTGGAAAAATAAAAATTAAAATTTTTTTTGGAAAATAATAGATACATAAATTGATTAATTAAATTTAAAACAAAACAAATATATATATATATATATATATATATATATATATATATATATGTAAACAAAAATCTTTTCTGGGATTGCAGGGTGAGCTCAGCAGTTTAAACCACTTGCTGTTTTTCTAGAGGACCCGAGTTCAGTCCCCAGTACCCATATGGAGTGGCTTACAACCACCTGCAACTCCAGCTCCTCTTCTGGCCTCCATGGGTACCTGCTCACATGTAACATACACTCACATAGACACACATGTGAATATAAATAGAAGGTTCAGAGAACATCCTGGAAGAGCAGGTAGAAAGAATGTAAGAACCAAGGAGCACTATGAAGTGCTAGCTCTGGACTCAGCATGGCTGCTGCACCCATGAACTCAAATCAGCTCTGGTTACCTGCACAAGTCCAAGCCAGCTGCAGCTCTGCATAGATGGAGTAGATGATCTCCGGGTCCCATCCCTTACTGAGGAGCTATTGGCCGTGGGTGGTTATGAGGATGAAGAAACATTCTTTATGTGTGTTTGTGTGTCCACTAGTACATTACATCCTTCTGGAATCTTTGATGGAGTTGAAGAATTTGTAGTCATAGTTGCAGTTTTCCTTAGTTATGATAAAAATAAAGTAGATATAAATATTGAAACTATAATTATTGCTCGATACCTATTTTGTTATATGTAATTTTACTATGTTAATGTTAAAACCTTCCTTTTCATTTAAACAGAGAAGGGGAGGTGATGTGGGATTCTCCTCTGTGTGCTGTGAATACCATTGGTGAATAAAGAAACTGCCTTGGTCTGTTGATAGGGCAGAACTTGGCTAGGCAGGGAAAATTAAACTGAATGCTGAAAATTAAACTGAATGCCTCCTTCAACACTAGGTTACATCACTCAATATGATGATTTCTAGATCCATCCATTTGCCCACAAACTTCAAGATGTCATTATTTTTTTTCACACTGTGTAGTACTCCATTGTGTAAATGTATCACATTTTATTTATCCATTCTTTGGTCAAGGGGCATTTAGATTGTTTCCAGGTTCTGTCTATTACAAATAGTGCTGCTATGAATATAGTTGAGAATATGTCCTTGTGGTATGACTGAGCATCCTTTGGGTATATACTCAAAAGTGGTATTGTTGGATCTTGAGGTAGGTTGTTTCCTAATTTTCTGAGAAATAACCATACTGATTTCTAAAGTAGCTGTACCAGTTTATACTCCCCACAGCAATGGAGAAGTTTACTCTTTACCCTACATCCTCTCCATCATAAGCTGTCTTCAGTGTTTTTGATGTTGGCCATTCTTACAGGAGTAAGATGGAATCTCAGAGTTGTTTTGATTTGCATTTCTCTGATGACTAAGGATGTTGAGCATTTCCTTAAGTGTCTTTTAGACATTTTATATTAATCTGTTGAGAGTTCTCTGTTTAGGTCTGTACCCCATTCTTTTTATTGGGTTATTTGTTCTTTTGATGACCAATATCTTGATTTCTTTGTGTATTTCGGATATCAACCCTCTGTCCAATGTGGGGTTGGTGAAGATCTTTTCCCATTCTGTAGGCTGCTGTTTTGTCTTGTTGACCATGTCCTTTGCTTTACAGAAGCTTCTCAGTTTTAGGAGGTCCCATTTATTAATTGTAGATCTCAATGTCTGTGCTACTGGGGTTATAATTGGGAAGTGGTCTCCTGTGTCAATGTGTTCAAGTGTACTTCCCACTTTCTCTTCTAAGAGGTTCAATGTGGCTGATTCTATCTTGAGGTCTTTGATACATTTGGACTTGCTGAAACTCAAATATTAAGAACATGATTTATTCTTGTGCTATGGCATCTCATGAGTAATTCATATGCTTGCCTATGAAGGCAAACACACAACTAAAAGAAACTAAAGACAGAATGAAGGAAAACAAGAGGCGGACAGGTATGCCCCCAGCCTAGGTCTACAAAAATAGGAATCTGTTACAGGCTACTTTGGTGCTGGTCACCTTGGGGAGGTAGTGGGGGAGCAGCTCTGCCTCTGGACTGTGATTGGGGAACCAATCTGCCTCTCTCATGGCAAGCCTGCCCTCCTACCTTCCTCCTGATCCTTTTCTAACTACCTTTGCTTGGGTATTTCTTTCATTTTTAAAACTGTTGTTTGCTATCTATCAGCTGGCACAGGTCAGACGATTAAAAGACAGTAGAGTTTCTGTTGCTAAGAGGCCCCTGTGACAGGATCCAAGTCCCAGGACTGAGTAAATTGGGAGCAAGACAAATCTGGCAACTTTCAGGCCCATGTTTGCACAGCCAATATGAATGACGTTCCCCTTCCTGTCTATGGCTTCACTTATTGTGGCTTTCTAAATGCTTAATAGCTGAACTTTGGGGACCTCGCCTTCCTCAACTAATATACTGTCTAGATTCAAGGGCTCAGGGACCCTGTTGTTTCTGTAAATAAGTGCCCCCCCTCCACAATTAGGGAGTCTCTCCTCTTACCTTATAAAGCATGCATAAATTGTTCCCTTATCTTTTCTTATCTAAGTTCTAAGGAAACTCTTAGGTCATGGTACTTCCTGATTTTGTTGTCTGAGTATATAACCCTATCCCCTGATGATTAAAATAATCTGCAGGGAATGTGGAGTTGAATTGTTCTAACTGCCTTAAGAGGCATGTGACATAGGTTTGTTTTGTTTTGTTTTGTTTTCCAGGTTTTAGTTCAGGGCTCCTGGATCACAACGTGCCTTCCAGTTCCGAGACACCCATGCACCCCCCAGGGAGTGAAGCATTCAAGTCAAGTTCCCTTAGTAGTCAAGAAAGCATTGTTGGCTTGACAGGACAGTTGGTCATTAATCTTGTGGACCCTGTATGACTTGTAAACTTCACTTTATTCTGGCAACTGTATTGATCCTGGAAGTTACCATTATCTTCTGTTTCTGATAAATGTATAAAAAGTCTGATTGCTCTTAATAAAATCATCACAGCCCCTGTAGTGCTGGGGCCCCTCCAACCAGCCGGATTTAACTCCTCAGGGCTAGATCAGGTGACCTTGGCCTGGTAAGTAAGCACAGGCACTCCACAGATAGAGGCTGAAAAGAGACCAGTAATATGGGGATTTAAAAAAAAAAAAAGGAAAAAAAAAGGAAAAGGCAAGGAATTCCTGGGAATTGTGTGTACACAAATATAGGACAGGAGTGTTCATTGGAGGTTAAAGAGATGCGACAGGTAGGCTCAAAGGAGCGACATTTGTTTCCAGAAGTTCTGCAGATTTAATGCTGGAGGAAGGAGCTAAAGCAGGACAGGACCAGCGGATAAAGTTCCTGGAGCTGATTAAAGAGCTTCAGCCTTCTTTCCCTGAACTCATTCCAATTAGGAAGAGCAACTCAGGGAGAATCAGAGGCAAAGGGACAGAAAAAAAAATTCCTAGGGATGCTTTCAGCTTTAGAGAAAAATAAAAAGTCACAGATAAAAATGACACAGTTAAAATTAAAAACGAAAGTGACCAGGAGAAAGCATAACTAACGCTGGAGATAGAAGACAACTTAGGCCCTGAAGCCAAGCTACCTCGTGTGTGTGTGTGTGTGTGTGTGTGTGTGTGTGTGTGTGTGTGTGTGTGTTTCTCTGTGATGAGGTTGACGGTGCTCCTCCTCCTGGTGCTGATGTTGCTCCCCCACCTCCAGCTCCAGCTTCCTCCATCCCTGAAACCTATCCATCAAATGCAGTTCCTGATAGCAGGGAAACTTTTCTTCCCTGCTTCACTTCATCTCTTATTGAGGTTATTAAAGAGGGCACCTCCCAATAAGAAAATTAACTCCTTCTATATCAAGGGACAGGTCTCCAATGCAAGAGGTTCTGCATCACACTTGGGAGACAGGAGAAGACATGAGGGGATTTTCTCTTTTCCCCGAGAATGAAATGCTTGATCTGAGTAATCTGGAACAAAGAGAACATATATACCCATTTCATTTTAGACTTAAGGATCTTAAGCAGGTTTGTGCTCTGTACAAACTGTCTCTCCTTGAATCTATTTCTGGGGAAGCCTTTCTTCCCTCTCACTGGAGGATCTCAGCAAAGGCGCATCTTACAGGATGTGAATATTTGCTGTCAAAGATTGTTCATTCAGAAAGATATCAGTACCAGTTATTAGAAATCAACACAATAGTGTGCTCATAACTTCTGAATTATTAGCAGGAGAAGGCGTTTATAGTGACACTCAATATGTGACAGATCATATCGTCCTGAGGATTATGAACAAATCACTGCATTGGTTTGACAGGCATGGCATAAGTTACCAGATTCTGGAAAGAGACAAAGGAACTTTCTAAAATTAGACAACGGCCTGATGAACCATATGGAGATGTTTGTTTCCCATCTTTTGCCGGCTGTCAGTCATCTGATGGTTGATGGGGAGGCAGGAATAATTATTGTTAAATAACTGGCATATGAGAATGCTAATGCTGCATTCCAGATTGCCATTCATCCTTTAGGGAAAAAAGGAGAGATTAATGATTTCATTCACCTCTGTACTGATATTAGGTCTTCATACACTCAAGGGTTATCACTGGTTGGTGACCTCCAGGGCCAAATAGTACCCCAATTATTGGCAGTCACACAACAAGAAAAAAATGAATAGTAATGGATGTTTTAAATGTGGTAAGTCTGGATATTTTAAAAGGCAATGTCGACAAGGAAGACAGAATGCGCCTCAGGTTATGGAGGTTAAGATTCCATGTTTATGCCCTTGTTGTAAAGAAGAAAATCATTGGATAAATAAATACAGTTTAATGAGGGATGGTGAGGAATAGCCTTTGCCTCAGAGAAGTTGGGGAAAGGACCAGTCCCAGTCCCTACCAACATTTGGATACATCCAGTAATAGCTGAGACTTGTCCTCAGAGTCTAGTGTTAATCCATCAGTCTTTCTTAGTGCTCAACACTCCCACGCACCAAAGCTTTCCAGGGCAATCAGGCAGTCCTGGACATGTCCTCAATGCCACCTCCAGGTTCACATTAACACCAGAAACGGGGGCCATGCCATATCTACTGGTATATAAAGAGCTTACAGAGTTTTCTAGGAATTAAGGATTGAAATCCTATTGGAGAGATTAAAGCTATGGCATCTGTCCCTACTGTTAACCAAACTATAGAACAAGAACAACGCATTGCTCAACTGTTATTGTTTCCACAATAAATGGCTAATCACATAAAGTCTGCTCAGGAATGGGGAATAGAATGTGTTGGGTCCCCAGTTGTGTGCTGGATGAAAGCTATTTCTGAAGAGTGGCCCACTACACCACTGTGGATAGACAGTAAGAAATCTCAGGGATTTTTGGATACTGGTGCCAATGTTTCTGTTCTTTTCCATCAACCTTGGTCCTCCTAGTGGCCTCTTGAAGGCATCCAAACAGAGTTCCAAGGAGTAGGAGTTTCCCATGTGTTAGGATTCTGGTATTATGCTGGCTTTCCCTGTCATCTAGCAAGATGTACCCAGACAATACCCTGGCCAGCCCAGGACCCTAGTCTGTGCTCAGGTGCAAATGTTCCTTAAGAGACAAGCTCCTCCCACTCTTACTCTTTCTCACTCTCCTTCCTCTGTCCTTTTTAAGGGGCAGGCAGGACTTTTCCTGCTTCTTTTCCTTGTTTCTTTCTCTCTTTCTTTCTCTCCCCTTCCCTTCTCTCCTTTTCTTTCCCCATTCCCCTCCCTTCCCCCAGTAAAATTCTTCACTTAAGCTGTGCCTGTATGGCACATTCTGTCACTCTCCACGGTCTGGACCCACCACGATGGGACGCTGTAAAGGTCTCTCTCTCACATGTGATCCTCACCCACCATGGGACCTGCCAGAGTCCTACTCACACCATTTTACAACACCACAGACCTAAATAAAGTCTAAAAGTTCTTAATTAAAAAATAATGACGATCAATCAGTTTCTTCCACCCTTATGTGTTACAACAGTTGATAGTTAATTTACAGGGTAGAGACGTTCTTAGGCATATAATTCTTTGTTCCTAATACATCTGCTGTAGCATGAGGGCCGGCTAGCTTGTTGGGGTTTCCGTCCTGCCCGGTACCCCAGAGCCGGCATGCCCCAAAGAGAAATCACACACAGGACTCCATAAGATTATAAAGCTGATTGGCCCATTAGGTCAGGCTACTTATTAGCTCTTATAACTTATGTTACCCCATTATCCTTATCTACGTTAGCACATGCTCAGTACCTTTTCCAGCGGGGCAGCTTACATCTTTCTTCTTCGGTGGTCTGTGCAGGAATGGCAGAGGGAGCTTCCTGTTTTCCCAGAATACTCCCAGTCTCTTTGCTCCACCCCTACTTCCTGTCTGGTTTTCCCGCCTATACTGCCTGCCTGGCCAATCAGCATTTTATTAAAATATGATTGACAGAACACAGACAATTCTCCCACAACAATCTGCTGAACAGATGAAGGCCGCACAGGATGGACTTCTGCAATGGGTCTTAAAAAAAAAAAAAGGAGTCACAGGGAATGGCTGAACCATTAAAATTAAACCCCATTCCAAAACATAATAAGCAAGGTTTGGGCATTTCTCCTAGTGGCTGCTGAAAAGGTTCATGCTGATCCTATAAACTGGTTTTCTGAGGCCCCTGCCTGGGTGGATGTGTGGCCCCTTACAAAAGGAGTTAATACTTCAGATGACTTAGCACTGACTTTTGCTGCCTTTCCCTTTCAAACTGATAATCATTTTCCTTCCAATAAACGTACTGGCTTTGTGTAAAAAAAAAAAAAGTTATTCTGTTTCCTAAAAGCACTATGCTTCAGCCCGTTCTTGCTGCAGAAGTAGTATTTGTAGATGCCATAAAAGATGGTACTGGTGCCCTGATTTCTAGAGACGTTTCCCTGAGTTTTACCCACCCAAGTGCTTCTGGATGGAATTATGCATGATTTACATAGCTTTACAACATCACCCTCCTCTAACTATGCTCTGACTCACACATAATCCACAGTCTTGGCAATGCGACATCTAAGAGTTGACTAAGCTAAGTCATCAGGTACCTCTATTCACGGCTTACTACAATTAATTTAACAGAAATTACAGACTCAAAAAGATCCAGTTTATTTTGGCCATATTAGGTCACCTTCTAAACATTCAGGACCTTTGTCTGAAGGTAATACAATGGGAGATTCCCTTTCAACATTGTTAAAAGAGAATGTAGGAGCATTGCCAGTTTTTAATATTTTGTAAGGACCAAAAAGAACAAAAGCTCTGAGTAAAAAGGTAATAACGCCCTTAACTGCTTTTTCTGATAGGGGAACAGTAAAAATGAGCAATGAATAAGTGTGTGCAATGATGTGAACACATCTCCTTTCCTAGGAACTAACAATCTAAAAGCAAACAAACAAAAAGCCCCACGAAAAGTGCATGCATGCTTTTGTCAAAATGCTTCAACATTAAAAAAAAATGTTTTTCACTAACTAAAGAGCAAGCTTGTGTGATGGTTAAGAAATTTCCTTCTTCTATAAAGGTTAACATCACACCTCTGCCCTCTTATGTCATGACTCCCCAAGCACTATTGCCCAAATCATATTTGGCACATGGGTGTTTCTCATACTCCTAGCTTAGGAGACTGAAATATGTTCACATTAGACAGTATTTGTCCCTCACATGCACAAATATGATGCTTGGCCAATAGGGGAATTGTGAACTGACATTCCCAGAGAAGAAAACTGGTGCGGGAGAATTGTCTGTATTCTGTCAATCATGTTTTAAATAAATGCTGATTGGCCAGGCAGGAGGTGTAGGTGGGAAAACCAGACAGGAAGTGGAAATAATGCAAGGAGAGCAGGAGAATTCTGGGGAGGAGAAAGTTGATTCCTCCCACTCCTGCCCAGATCACCAAAGCAGCAGGATGTGATCTGCCCCACTGAAAAAGGTACTGAGCCACATGGCTAACATAGATCAGAAAAATGGGTTAATCAAGATGTGAGAGTTAGCCAGTAAGAGGCCTGACCTAATGGATCAATCAGCTTTATAACTTAT